TAGCGTAGATTTACGTATCTATTTTAATAGAAGACCCACTTCAACAACAACGCAGGAATTGGCAACAGAAAATTAGCTGAGAATCATGGCGCGATGGCCAAAAAGCTCTTGCGTCCGCTTTGCTCCAGTCGCGCCTGCATCATCGCCAAGGCCATTGGCGGTGGCGACACCCACAAGGAGTACTCAACGACTCGCGACATTGGGCCAAACCATACTGCAAACCCATTGCTTTGAGAAGAAAGGCCGTCTTCACACCGTTAGCTGCGTGTCGCCAAGTACGAGTCGATACCCTCCTAACGTTAGTCGATCGGCGCCGCGCTGCCTCGCTTGATCAAACACGAGAGCGGTTCGAGAACAAGGAGCGCTTGTCGATACACACGTGCAACTGCAGTTGTCGTGCAAAGCAACTGCCCGACTCGGCCTCGTTATCAGCTCGCTGGTCGCGGTACCCAGATTCGTCTCGTGACTCACAGTACCAGTGCCACGCGCGTCGTCCTTCGTTGACGCCGCGAGCTGCGCACCGCATAAGCTTACTATAGCAACATGTGAGTCTTTACTCGTCGATCGACCACCAGCTTCACCATCCACCAGCTATGGTTGGGTGGAGATACCGCCCTCAACGAGCGACGTCCACAACCAAAGACTACAATTTGACAGTCGGTCGTTTGCTCGGTCGCTCGGTCGTTGGCGCCATAACGTTTGTTATAACATGTTATGGGCGACCGGTGCTGGGGTTTGCCCATTGTCTTGACAAAAGCACTGTGGTTCTTGGCTTGCGAAAGGTCAGTCAATGGCAACCAACCATACCCTATACCCTTTCGCGTTAGCTTGGACGTTCTTGTTGATGAGTCGAGCTTTGATACGAGACTCATTGACGTGCGACAAAAGTGTGTGTCGGCAATTCTATTTATAACACGAGTTATAATGGTTGTCACACCGTCTGATGGAGACAGGCGCCACCGAACGACGTAGCTACGCCCTGGCTTTGTCAAGGACACGGGCGTTGTATCGCTGCGTCATGGGCTGGTCGGAGCCTGCTGTCATTTTGCAGAGTCACCTCTGACACCGCAAACATGCGTCCTTCTGCATGTATGAAGCTCGCCCTGGCGGCGTGTGCCGTCGCCGCGGCCTCTGTGCGCCACGGTGCCGATCCGCGAGTTATCCTCGAAGTGATACCACCGCGAGAGCTTGACGGGAACGCAACGACAGCCCCGCCCAC